ACCTCATTCCAACCCCCCTGCCATGGGCAGGGACCCCTTCCACCAGCCCAGGCTGCTCCCAGCCCCGTCCAACCTGGCCTTGAACCCTGCTAGGGAGGGGGCAGCCACAGCTTCTCTGGGCAGCCTGGGCCAGGGCCTCACCACCCTCAAGGGGAAGAATTTTTTTCGTGGATCTAATCTATAGAAATAGATTCTGTAAGAAAGATAACCCAGAACATCTCAACCACTGGGTATGGCCTCCCTGCAGTGTGCAGAGCCGATCCTATCAGCGTCCCAGCCTGGATGCAAGTTTCCTATATTCCTATCCCATAGCACCAGGTATCGGGAATGGTGAGACCTACATCCTCCCTCCTAGCCAGGCTCAGAAAAATACAGCCTAAAGAACAAAGCCACTCAGCAATCCTGCGTGGGACCGAGTCCACGTGGTGCTGGCATTGCACAAAATGGTCCTCTTCAAGCATAACCCCCTTCCCCTGGCTGGAGAGGGGTGGAATGAGGTTGATCCTCGAGAAAGCTGGTTAGACGTGGCGCTCTCCTGACCCTCAGCTTCATCCCCAGGGCGTCAGCGCTGCCCGAAGCGACCCCAGAGCCCACCCCTGACCCTCAGGACCAGGGGAGGGTGCTCCGAAGCAAAGCACCGAGGCAGGACGACAGCTCCTGGGAGAGGGGAAAGCTCACACGTGGTCTGGCCTGGCGCCTTTGCACCGCGGGGACATCTCTTGTCACGAATGAGCAGAAGGCAGCGTGACTTGGTGCACCGGGGTCCTGCCCGCGCCCCCAGAGAAAGGGAGCAGCAGAGACGAGCCGAGGCCCCAGCAGCAGAGCCACAGACACCGAGTGAGGCAAATTCAACGTGAGGCGCCTGGCGAAGGCTGCTGCAGACCCTCGGGCACGTTTTCAAGCCGAGATGAGCAGAGCCAACAAAATCAGGTCCGCTTTCACAGGACAACTGCAAAACCTCTCCTTGCTGCGCTGCCTGCAGGGACCTGGGAGCTCACTCTTTGGACCACCAGGACACGTTTCCCTGGGGCTTCCTGGGAGCAAAGAAGGAAGACGTGGAGAATGGCCATGAGGACTTTTTTTTTTGACTCAGGGGATCACTCCCCGAGCGAGACCCTCTCTATGGTGTAAAAGGAGAAGGCTACAGACGATGAGATGGTTGGTAATTGAGGGGGGAACAGACCCAAACCCAACAGCATCACGCAACCAAGGCCTCTTCCAGCAAAACCTTCCAGAAAGAGATTTAACAGTGCCCCTGCTGTGTGCCCCCCCCGTGAGGCTTCAAACGCGCTGGCCAAGTTCCTGCTACGAAGAGGAATCGCCCAGGCTGAGTGACGGTCGCGGCATCCCATCCACTCCAGCACTACTTCTGCAGCCGAGCGTACACCAGAAACGCCACAGCTGAAATCAGAGCGATGCCCACCGCTGGAACGATGTACGGCAGGGACGATCCGCTGCGGTCCCCTGGGGGGACTTTGGCCTGAGGGGAGCTGGTCGCAGCGCCACGGCCCCCGCCCGAGTCAAAATCTGGAGAATTCCCAAGGGGACCGGCTCCGTGTCGGAGGTCGTTGCCTGCCCCGAGCT